TTATATATACCGTTTGCTTTTACAAAAAATTTACATATTGTCTTTCTTGACCTTTGATGTTTGTTTTGAGCTAAATTAGTTCAGTTTTTCTCAGTTTCTTTGCAGTCCACAAAATATGAAAAGGTATGAAAAATATATCTGATATCTGTAAATATGACAGAGCCACTTGTGGCTGATAAAACTGATTAGATGTGCCATCTTGGATGTGTTTGATTCCAAACCTTGTAGTAAATGTACATCAATGGATTACTTTCTAAGTTTTAATCAAACGTCCTCATGATTCAGGATTTATTCTGCTAAACAAATAAGCACAAATACAGTCAAATACATTGTTGCCCTTTTAGCCTTACCGTCAGTTCAGTTATAACCCAATCACATCATCACCATCATTATCCTCCCCTCTGATGTCTCGTGCATCCTCCCAGCTGGAGCACAGCTTGAAGCTCCGCGTGAACCATCACGACATGTTTTTTTTTTAGTGTTAAATGATGCAGGCTGTGATTCACTCGGTGGGCGGGGCTTATTTTGGAGTGCAAATGCCTCCGCCCCCCGCAGCGGTCCGCGAGCTGCTGTTGTCTTTTAAGAGCCGCGCGCAGGAGGTAAACAGTCAGGCAGGTTCGGGATGGAGCGGATGGAGTCCATGGAACCGATCTCTGCGTGCTACACCACAGCTTACCCGGAGATCCAACCCGACAGCGGCTACGGCTCCAGGGACGGGACCGAGAACCAGGCCAAGACCCCCCCGCCCCCCGCCTACGACGAGGAGCTGGTGCACAAGGTGAGGCTGCTTTGGTTCGAGTTGGTTCATCAGAATTCTGAGGTAGGTTCGAACCCAAGAGGTGATCTATATTCAAGTTTATGGTTCGGACTCAGTGTGGTCCGGTTCTGCGCTGTCCGTGGTGCTGATTCTAATTTACCGGAGTCAATTAGAGCTTTAATAAGAGGCCACTTCCAGTCAAAAGGACCTCTTACCCGGAAGTGTGTATAAAAACTACAAAACTAGTGTGTGGGGTGCCTCTCAGTGATCCAGAAACATGAAACTACTCAGGTCCTCTGGACTGTTTAGTCTTTGTTGAAACGACTTCTACCTCTGTGTCAGTCTGTTAGCAAAATATCTCATAAACCACTAAAAGTACTTAAATGAAACTCTCAGAAAGTAATGACTGGATAAAGACCTGCAACTGATTAACTTTTGTTATCAACTCGACTCAAGATGGCCGCCACAGCCAGCCAATCTTTGAAAACACAAAAATATGAAACCTCCCTCAATTTTGTAGATAATGTGCTAAAATTTGGTGTGGTAGTAGCTGAGACTGATCCATCCATCCATCTATTTTCTTCCACCTATCCGGGGTCGGGTCGCTGGGGCAGCAGCTTCAGAAGGGAGGCCCAGACCTCCCTCTCCCCAGCCACTTCTTCCAGCTCCTCCGGGGGAACTCCAAGGTGTTCCCAGGCCA